TGCCCCAGGCCATTTGGGGTTTAGGGTTTAGGGTTTAGGGTTTAGGGTTTAGGGCTTGTAGGGCTTAGGGCTTAGGGCTTCGGATTTAGGGCTTAGGGCTTCGGGTTTAGGGCTTAGGGCTTCGGGTTTGGGTTTAGGGTTTAGGGCTTAGGGTTTAGGGCTTAGGGCTTGTGGGGTTTAGGATTTAGGGTTTATAGGGCTTTGGGCTTAGGGCTTAGGGCTTAGGGCTTCGGGTTTAGGGCTTAAGCCCTGAGGTGCTTAGGGGCTTGGCGGTAGTATAGGGTTGGGCTAAGGGCTTAGAGTTTCAGGCTGTAGGCCTTCAGGGTTTTACGGTTTTTCGGTTTACTTATAGGGCATTGCAGGGGCCGTGCTAAAGGCTCTATACAAGCGCTCCTGAGGGGTCTTCCAAATCAGTAGGAGCTCCTCGTGGAGGTTTTACAGGTTTTCATGGGTACTTGTCCGTATGTTTGTGGCTACCCTGACCGGGGTCTCTTCCGAACCGAAGCTGCTCCCTGATCCTTTCAGTCCTGCAGCGCGCCGAGCGCGGCATTCTGCAGTCCTTCGAAGACATATTCTGGAGCTCTTCATGGCATGGAGAAGGACAGACCCTAAACCCTAAACCCTAAGCCCTAAACCCTAAACCCTAAACCCTCTCGGTCCTTCGTCGCTGAGGTCGGCGCCGTCGGCCCAGCCCAAGGAGGCCCGGAGCTGAAGGCTCTCTTGCCAGGAGCGCCGGGTTGCCGAGCCGCGCAGCAATGCGGAGGCCAGGAGGACGTCGACGGAATGTTTTGGAGTGCTTCTTTGGGTGCTGGAGAGGGCTTGGAGGGAAGTTCTCCAGGCCGCCGAGGTCATTTTACCCAGGCGGGTGCTCACGGAGACGCGGTCCAGCTCGACCTGAAGAGATGCCATGGCTTCCAGGGTCTCCGTGCCTTTCTCCCAGGGATTCGCCACGAGCAGCGCATTCCAAGAGGCCACGTCGGGCTCGAGCGCTCCCAGAACCATGCCGGAAAGCATGGAAGAGACCACGGACCAGGTGCTCATGGCGGCGGAATTGAAACAAATCAGATGTGGGCGAACTCCAGAAGTTCGCAGCCTTGCGAGGAGCTGGATGCCTGCCGGCCACTGACTGGACTTGCTGAAGGTGGCCACGGAGGGTCCAACCGACGTATCTGGCAGCACGCCATGTCTCTGCTTGCAGGTCTTGAGCAAGCTTGCTGCAAGCTGCCAACAAAGTCTCCCGTCCGGCGGATTGCTGGCTGTACCAGCCATGCAGGCTGTGGACAAGGCTGCGAAAGTGTCCGTGTCGGTTTGCAGCTGCGCTCGGCGCACCTCGTCCAGAAGCGTGTGGGCACAAGCCCATTGCAGGGCCTGAATAGCAGCAGATCCGGCCGTGCTGAACGCCACCATCCCCCCTGAAAGTCCACGTCCACGCCATCCGACCGGCAGCGTCGCGAGAAGTTCCAGGCAGAATTCCCAGGGACCTCCCCGAGCACAGGATGCTATACTCGTGCTGCTGGAGATCTCATCGCTTGGGACTGAGTCACTCGACATCGCAAGCAGGACGCCCGTGGCGCTTTCCCACCTGGATGCGCTGAGGGAGGACTTCATGGCCAGGTTGTACATCAGGAGGTTCGTCTCTACGTCTTGATGTCTGGCTTCCCTCAATAAGCCCCTAGCCTGTTCCACATGTCCCTCATCAGCACAAAGGCCCAGAAGGATGTTGTAGCTCGCCGCGTCTGGCTGTGGCCCGTGCTGCCTCATGGCAGACAGCAGCTGGAGGCCCTGCTTCAACAGCCTTTCACGGCTGCACGCAGAAAGCACGGCATTGCCGACGAAGATGTTGGGCTCTATGGTGAGCAGTTGTGCCGCCATCTGCCAGGCACTCGGCCCCGCCTTCGCCGCAAGGCCCCGTGCTGCCGCCCCGAAAGCCACAAGCGACGGCTCGCCTCCTTTCCTGGCCCAGGACTGAAGCCCTTGCAGCGCCGAGGCCCAGGACGCCCGGGCGCAGGCATCCACGGCGATGCCGTGAGCCACCAGAAGATTCTTTTCATGGCCGGAGAGCTCACAGTCAAGCAGCTGCAGGGCCTGGCGCCAGCAGCTCTTCTTTCCCGCCGAGTTCGCGGCCACATTGTGGAGCACCCCCAACCTGCTGCCCTGGATGGTGCTCCTCTGGACCTCTGCAACATGATGAACAGCTTCCTTCCAGGAAGGCTGGCATGACATGAAATGCGCTTTGAGCCCTTGGCTGGCGCAACACTAGGGCTTGTCCTGCCATGCCATGCCATGCCATGCCATGCCATGCCATGCCATGCCGTGCCGTGCCGTGCCGTGCTACATGGACCTACGTACCTACATACCTAGGTGCCGGCATACATGTGTGCCTGCGTACATACCTACGCACACATACATGCGCATGCGTACCTGTGGACAGAAACGAATGTACGGACAAACAGACAGGTAGTCAGACAGAGAGACATCTGTCTATTTGCTTGCCAAGTTAGCTAATTTGTTGTTGGCCAACCACTTACTGTCTAGTTATTGGCTTAATTGTGTATCTATCATTCGTCTTTGGGTATACCAACCACCAGCTTCTATCTGAGTCTATCTGGTAGTTGCCTGCTACAACTCGTTGACTGACGCTTTCCTGAAGGGGCGCAGAAAGCTCGGAACAAAAATCAAAAGTTGGAGATACCCAGTAATCCCCTCTTTCAGCAAGCCAATACAGTAGGAGTATCTTGGGTCCTAAACCCCTAAACCCTAAAAATCGCTTGTCTTCTAGATTTGGAGCCTCTGCAAGCTCTGAGCGCGAGGCTTGTGGCCGCTCCGCCGGCGGAGAGACGGGCCTGGCAGGAAAGGTTTGAAGGCTTTTTCGGTAGGTTTAGGGTGTAGGGTGTATGTTTAGGTGATAAAGGCCTAGGGGGTTTAGGAATGTGGCTTTAGGCTTCTAGTAGGTCTCACAACACGTGGTATGAGCATGGTGTGGCAGCATGTGCTTTCAAAACATGCCTTAACAACCTCACAACAACTTGCATTACGGGAACACTAAACCCTAAACCCTAAACCCTAAACCCTAAACCCTAAACCCTAAACCCACTAAACTTCACAGTTCCTGGTTTAGCGTTTTGGGCTTCGGGCCCAGGCTTCAAGGGTTCAAAGTCTACAAGTCTCGGCTTGTTTCCAAAAAATCGGTGCCCAGGGCCCAAGAAACCACATTGACACAAGGAGCTCTCATATCAAACTTGATGAAGTCCCACCTATTTGGACCTCTTGTACCCCGGATCCTCGTGTTTATACGTGCTGTCGAAGTTCGTGGCGAGCCTTGACGGGCCGTTGCGGAGGACGCCTGGTCTTGACACCTTCCGGTGTCCGCTCCTCCGAGGGAGCGAAGGTTCATGAAGCATTCACTGCCTTATACTGCCGGTGCCGGACTCGGTGACTGCCTGGCCTCCGGAACTTCTACTTTGGGTCGCTCTGGTGAGGACTTTGCCTCCAAGGCTTTGGAATTGAACAGTCTGCATCACAAGAGCTCACAGCGACAAGGGGTCTTTGCTCAGAAGCTCGACAAGGGCGCGGACCTTGCACGGCAGCCGTATCCTTCCGCCCCCTGCGGGCCAGAGAGAGGAAGGGGTCGCTGGACGCGGCTCCGCGGGCTCCGCGGGCTCCGCGGGCTCCGTGAGCTCTGCACGCAGCCGCGCACGCGAGGGCGCCAAGCTGGGGCGCACGGGGCTCTGGAGCGCGGGGCTGGGGCTCGCATGTCGGGGCGGCTCGGACCAGCGAACGGGCGCAGGTGCTTGGAGGGTCCAGGGAGGCGCTGGCACATGGACGGCTTGTAGCCTCGGCTCCATTGGGATGGTCACGGGCTCCATCGGCATCGACTTGCAGCTCGCCGATGGGCGAATCGCTGCAGACTTGGAGCCTCAATGAAAGGCGTCTATCAGTATCTGTTTCTGAACTTTTCCAAACTACCATCGTCCTTCCGAGTGGCAGAAATACCCGGGCATCCGAGCTGCTTCATAGCCCCGCCTTGCAAGCAGCGGCTAATCGAGCTCTACCCTCCGCATACCAATTTGAAGGATCAGGCCGACTTCGTAAGAGCAGCTATCATTTACGGGCCGAAATACGTGTCGATACCTAAAGATTTCGGGATCAGAGTTGAGGGCTCAAGGGCCAGGGGGGCGGAGTTTGGATTTAGGGTCAGACCCGGTCGTAGGCTTCCGACTGGGCCGCGAAGCCGTCCGGGCTCATGGGGGCCATCGCCACGTGTAGTGCCATGAGGCTTCCCTGTGCTTGGGGCTTTGGGGCTGAGGCTAAGGGTTCAGGGCTTAAGGCTAAGCTCATGTGGGGGCTGAAGAGCTCCGAGGAATTGCGAGGTTGAAGGATGCTGGGCTCAATGGGCTGCACCGCACAAAAGTTCGATTGCAGATGTCGGACCTATCTAGTTCGATGAAGAGAACCTAACCTATCAGGATCTGCAACCACGTCCCCTCGAAGTGTAGAGAGGTGTCTGCATGTCCTCAATAGCTTACGCATTGCAGCGCTTCGTGAAGAGGTGCGGCAAACTCTGTGCTCCGTGCAGTTCCCTTCCTCTGTCCAACCCCGTCTTCGAGCCCACACATTGCAAACAATTTCCAACACGACTCCCACCGAGAGGAGGACCAAGGACTAGCAACGCAAAAACTGTAACGAAGTGCATGGGGCGCTTCTTTCGGATCTGCGGGCTCACCGCATCGCATCCGAAGTCTCCGAAACGCGAAGGTCACGCACCAAGCAGAGGACGAGCTGCTTGCTGATCCTGTCCTGCATGACTACAGCATAGCTTAGGGCATAGGGCGTGGGGATGTTGCAGGTATCATCATGCTACACGACATGGTTTAGGGTTTAGGGTTTAGGGTTTAGGGTTTAGGGCTTAGGGTTTAGGGTTTAGGGTTTAGGATATGTCTTCATGGTACTCGGATCCATCTGAGAATCCTCTCCTTTCCACTTTCCAGCTTTACCTGCAAGAAGGCCAATGCTCTCCACCCTCCAAGGCCACTGCTGACCCGAGCCTTTCTCTGCCAGAGTCTGGGAACCACCAGCACGGGCGGAACACCGTCCTCGGCACAGTGCCCGGAAGACGGAGCTTGCGAACAGGAAGGCCGCAAAATACCGTGTACTGGTACAGCATCGTGCAACTACAGTCCAGATCCTACAGCTTGGCTATGAGATCGTACGTACAGGAACCCACTTCAACAAGGATCGGGAACTGTCTGAAACCTTAGTTCTCAGACCGCCTTGTTTACGCGGTTCTTTGATGCCTTGCGGGCTCCGCAGACTGACTTCTGAGCCCAGGCACCAGGTGCTCCTGCGGCACAAGGCAGTGGGTGAAACCACACCCGTGCAATTTCCTCCTATGACCTATGACTCAACTGTATGTTCTGCATTTGTCCTAGTACACAACCCAGCATGCACACACATCCAATCACCCAGCGAGCCAGTCAGCCATGAATCCATGCATGCATGCATGCAGGCATGCATGCATACAGACAGCCACACAGACATACAGACACACAGACATACCTGTACGTTGTACAAATGCATGTCTATACATGTGTATATATGTATATATGTATATACGTATATATTTATATATGTATATGTATATGTAGACACAACAATAGTATATGTATATGTATATGTATGTATCTATAGGTATATGTACATATTACGCTCAGCAGAACACATTCCATCCGCGATGTGTATTGTGTTGAACAGCATGCTCTTCAGATGGTTCCTGAAACCCAGGTCCTTCCGGACATCCATGCAGACAAACGCGAGGGACTTCACACCCATAGCGATGGCAGGCCTCGCTTCTGTGTGTAATGTTCAGGGTTTAGGGTTTTAGTGCTCAAGTTGGTTTTCAAGTTAGGGTCTAGGATTTTGAGATTTGGGCGCTTAGGGGTTTAAGGTTTAAGGGCTTCGGGCTTACGGACCTCGGCACTGCAGCACAGCATGAACTGCAGAATCTCACGATGCCATTAAGGTTACCAGTACGAAGAACTCTTTAACAATTGCAAATAAATTCGATCAGGATAGGGATGCAACGAGCAACCGCAATGGGAATAGCAAGGAAAGATAAAGAGCAACAAACTCAACAGTGTTGATGACACGCTGGGTTGCCGCACGGTCCCATGGCTATCAGGAAAGGAGGTTTTTGCCTCCAGGAGCCCATGAACTCGGGAGTTCGAATTCATCGGAGCAGCGCAAAAGGCACCCGCCTGCCGGGGGTGGATGAGGCCGCCGCTACGGCCTGCACGGGCTGCACGCTTGCCTCTCCTAACAGACGACGTTTTGCTGTCTATTGTTGTTTATCCTTGCTGTTGTTCCAAAATCTGGTGCTTCCCAAGAGAACTTTAACCTGTACAGAGCACGCCAAACCTCAAGCAGACGTGCAGACAGTTCCTTTCAACAGCAGCGTGAGGGCCCGGTGGTCGATCCAAAGGTTCCAATGAATTATTGCACAGTCAGGACGAAACCCTAAACCCTAAACCCTAAACCCTAACCCCTAAACCCCTAAACCCCTCCACGAACCTTCTCACCAGAGCTGGCGGCTCGGGCCGCTGAGCGCGCTGCCTGCCGGGCTTAAAGGCTCAGGGCCTCTCTGGCTTGGGGCTTTAGGGCTCCCTGAGTTCAGGGCTCCTTGGGTTTGGAGCTCCCTGGGTGGAGGGTTTAGGGTATAGGGTTTAGGGTTCAGGATTTAGGGTTTAGGGTTTAGGTTTTCAAGTTGAGGTTTTCAGGTTTATCGTTTAGATCGTTGCAACACAGCACCTGGCGGAGGTCCGGAACAGTATAGCGCATCCACTGCCCCAGCGCCGTCCTGTGGCGGCTCAACGCTCGCCGTGGAAATCAAAACGTCGGGTTTAGGGTCTGGCATAAGAGGAATAATAATAACAATGAAAATCACTGCAATTATATTCATAGTTATGCTGCTATGCTAGTGATACTACTAGTAGCAATACTTATGATACTAATAATACGCATATTGATAATAGGCTGCTTTTTAGGAAGGGCTCTATCAGGATACAAGAAGGATACTATCAGGGCTTTATTCTTAGGAACCCAAAAAGGACGTAACAATACCTTATTGGGCTTCATCATAAGGGGATTTATATGGGATATCCCTACCCTAAGTTTTGCTTATGTGCTTTTGGGGGACCCTATATTCTCGTCTCTGGACAACTGATGCACCCAGCGATCCTCGCGAGAGTTGTGGGTGTTGTCCTGGTCGCCGAGCCCTGGGAGGGGCAGGGAAATATTACAGGTATATTACTGTTACATACCATAAGATTATCGTATCTTATAGTATATAATGGTAAATATTCTTGTAAATATTCATGTTTTTCATGGTATATTATTGTACGAATATATTCTAGTATACCATACAAGATGCCACGGAAACAAGCGACCAAAGCCGGCAGGGCCTCGTCTGGCGAGCTTTGAGGCACAAAGATGCCGCCTTTGGAGAAATCCCTGGGCTCCTCTCAGCCCCGATGGGGCTTCCGGGTGCTGTAAGGGTTTCGGGTTTAAGGTTTGAGTGTTTAGGGTTTAGGGTTATTTGGGGGTTGCTATAGGGGCCCTACTATATAGGGCTCAGGGTTACCATGAAGGCTACTATGAGGGTCCTACTATACAGGCTTCAAAAACGGGTCCTTTAGTACTCCCAGCTCCGGGTTTACAGAGCACGTGATGGACAAGGCCGCGTGTCCTCGTCTTTTTGAGGGGTCCTGGCTGTCACCACGAGCCGGCAGAGCCTGTGTAGGAATCACGCATCAGGCTGTCGTTGTGCTTAGGGGTTGCAGTGCAGAGTAACTATGTATACCATATGGGCTACATCACACAGAATCTGAACATACGCTATGTTGCATAGGCATCTCATGTGGTGTGTGTGTGTGTGGGTGTGT